TATGGCATAATTATTTAGGGATTGGAATCTGGCAGGTAATCTACACCTGTCTGAGGAGGAGAACTGTAATTGTGAAATTTCAGAGGAATGAAATGCAGAATGTACAGAGACAAGTCCAGTACCGTCTGTTTGCAGGTAAACTAAGTATAGCAACTCTTCACAACAGCAGTGACAGAAGGTAACACAAATAGCTTTGCAGCCCTGAGTTAATTAAGAATCTCTTGGAGGGCAGGAAACCATTATTCTGTAGTCAGACATTTAAATAATAGAATTAAACTACTAGCTGAACTGCAGTTCAGTAGTTTCAGACTACAGAATGACTTTAAAATAAAGCCAGCGATTTCTTCCTGGCCGGCCAGCTGGTCAGATGATGGGCCAGCTCTGTGAGTCACTGAAACGATGGCCAAGAATCACATGCAGCCTGTGTTTCCTGGGTGGCCCTAACATCTGACAGCTTTTCCTTGCCTGCAAAAAGGCAAGTTCACTTTAGTTCAAGACAATATGAAAAAACAGGATTAAACATTCTTTACAAGGACCACTTAAGTATTTTTATCCTTTTAATCTAATAACCAAGGAAACTCACCCAGAAAGCTCCAGTTATCTAAAATATAAAAATCAGAAAAATGTAAAAATGTAATCCAGTAAAACCAATAATTACATTAATAAATGCAACAGTAAAATAACACACACACACACCATCATCCCTATCAAAGATGGGCATTTAAAATAACAGTGAAATATAAAAATGTACTTCAGAATGGTATTAAGGCTTTTCTATCCATGTACCTAGAAATTCATGGTGCAGCTATGGTAGTAAGCCAGAAGATGCCACTGTTGGTACAACTTCCTTCATACCTCCTCTCAACAGAGTTAGAAAGGGAAATATGATAATGACATAACTGATGTGAAACGTTAGGTTCATACACGCATATACATACCAATATGTTTGGTTGTTCTGATTTGTTTCCAGATATGATGTCCACACTGAGCAATATCCATTTGATGCTGGTCCCTCTCTAAACTATTTGTTTCAGTTGCCTCACTTGTTTTATCTAAAAAAATTGAACATTCATAATGTAACCAGTTGGAGCAATTTGTAATTGAGAAAGAGACAATGAATGTAAAGGAAAATCCATATGGTTATTAGCAAAGATAATATAGAAGTCTCCATAAATATGTGCCATGCTTCATGGAAGGAGCTAGAAAAGTGATTGAGAAGCCAGTTGAGATACACTCTACCATTTGTTTTTTTTTATTATTAAAGGAAAGAGAGGAAGTGAGATAGGCTACTTTTGATCTTTTTGGGTTGGTCTGCAAACCAGACCTGCCTTTCTCAATTTGGCGGGGGGGGGTGTTTAAAAGAAGCAAAAATGAAAACTGATTGTTGGTATTAGAAAATATGAACTTACCCAGCTTGGTTTTTTCCCCATATAGAGAAAGGAAGAGGAGAAGCATGAGTTCTGATCCTGAAGAAAGACCTACATTAGTATTTTCAAGCTTTCACATCCATTACTTACACATTTGCACAAATAGTCTTCAATTCACCTGTTCAGTAAATAAGTATGGAACAAAAATAAATAATAAGTAATCGGACAATGTTTAGCTAAAATGTGAGTATTTCCAATAGGTTTTAGAGTTTCTTAGTCTTGTGCCTATACTTCTTTCCTGCAAAGTATGCTTTCTGATGTTTGAACTTTTATTATTTATTTTTAATTATGGTTCTAAATGTAATTGCATTTAAAAATTGCATTTTTAGTGCTTGGTGAGCCTTTTTTAGTGTCAGATGTTGATGAAAAAGTGAGGTAAATAACTGCATTTCTAAACAATGTACATGGAATTTCTTCTGTGTTTATTTTTAATTAAAATATTGTGTATGTTGGAATATTTTGAAGCTGATCTCAACCCTCCCGAGGGGGCTTATATAATTAATATCACAAATAAAACACACAAGCACCAGCAGTTAAATTATCCTGTTACAGCAATTAGAAAAACAAAACAAAACAGTAAGAGTTATCTTATTAGGGGCACAATCCAAAATACAAGAGAAGCAAAATGCAATCAGAAATAAGATAAGCACAACACCATATAAAGTTTTAAAATGGCTCCATCATCATTGTTCAATGAAGAAAATAGTAAGTCCCATGAGTCTTCTAGCACGTTTCGGAATGCAGGACGAAGCTCTCCATTTATAGAAATATTCTGGAGAAGGAATGGAAACCTTTCTCCTTCTCTTAGAGATGAGCTGGATCCAACAACAAGCTGAGCCCAAGAGACTGAGATACTGTTCATACTTAACACACTGACCAGCCAAGGAAATGACGAGAAGGAAATTGTTCCCTGTCTCAGGAAACATGTGCTAATGCAAGATAAGGGAAACAGTTGCTAATTTGAGTATAAAAGCAGGAAATCTGATACACTGATTTCCTTTCCTGCAAACAGAACAAGTTTAAGGAATATGTAACGGTATTTTTGTTTTCCCAAATCAAATTTCTAATATACTACCCAATATTTTATTCTGGATACAACACTTCTTAAAATTACTTTCTTTGTCCATGTTGAATGCTATGGATGCCAACAGCACAAGTTCTGAGAACTTCTGGCCACCCCATTTCTGGAGTAAGTATTCTAGAGGACTTGTTTCTTATACAAACAATGTGAATGAACATATTTTCTATATCATATTCTCTCTAAATTGTCTCTGCTGTACAGTTACATTGCATCTAGCATAGATAGTATATTCAGTATAGATCAGAATATTTTATGATAAACAAAGCATTTGCAAAGTAGAAAAATAAATATTTTAACATTGCTATCCCACTTTTTAACCAAGTTTCATTAGATTGTGCAAAGTTGGAAGAATAGTAATAATAATCATAATAATTTGAACTGAGCCAGATGTTGGTAAATTATCAGCCTATTATTAAGTTCAATTTGTTTTTAGATATAAATCTGTCACTAACCTTCAAGGGATATTTCATGCTGATAGTGAAAAGGACAGGATTGCTACTTTTCCTGTTTATTTGGATCTACAGAGGTGAATCCAGTAGAGAAATAGGCTAGTTTTTTGCCCACAAACTAAGTGCATAAGATAGAAACTATGAAAATAATACTCTTAATTGCATTTTTGTTTTTCAAGGCTGGGATAATTTGTGATATTCTTAGGCTCTATTACATCCTCATTACTCTTCTCTGCCTTAATCCAACCAGCGTGGAGCCTCCATTTTGTTTTCCAAGCTATAAGAAGTTTGTTGTTTTTTTTTTTAGAAAGTACAGCCACATTTCTATGTTACTGGGCCCACTTGTTGATTTATTCCAGCTGATTCATTATTCTTATACTAAGTTTTCTGCCTCTTGTGTTGGGCAAAGGCCAGACAGAAACAGGCAAAGAAGTTGTGGGTTGGTGATCAAGGAACCATACTGCCCTGTTTTTACCAGCCATGGGAACCTCTAAAGAGATGAATTTTTAGGTAAGAAGCTAGATGTATAAAGAAGCATGGTCAGTGGTACCATTTTACTATAAACGATATTAATTAATGGTCCTAAAGCACCTTTATTTTGGGCTCTTATTTGTGATTTTTCTCAATTTTCTGATGTCCCTCCCTTGGCCCAGCCTTTCTCCCTTCTTAAACTCCTCAGATTAATCTTCATTCTGAAAGAACACTGGGCTGCAGAGAGTTCAAATAATTTACTTCATTGAATATGGGGCTTATTATAGCATTGTTTGAAAATCTGTGTCGCAAATGAATAAGAGCTATTTTGAGATGATAGCTGTGAATAGCAGCTATAATGCCTTCTTTGAAAGCTTTTCCATACATCAAGGTAGTCGGAAAGTAGTCAAAGAGACGGAAGACCAGAAATTCCACTTAGCATAATATTTGTCATACAAAACTGCATCAGGCATTTGAAGGGAGTTAAAAATTCATAGGTGTTGGACAGGACATTTAGATCATTGAGCCCAACCCCTGTTCATTCATCCAGACGAATGTGTTGTAACCTTGCTTGAACATGCTCAGCGAGGGAAAAGATATCATCTCTCTGGCTCATTAATTCCACTCCTCCTAATTTTAAAAAGTTATGTCTAACATTCAGTCTTCTGCCTTCTTATAACTTAACTCCATTATTGCATGTCCTGAACCCTTGAATATTAGAGAACATAGAGGTGTGCAGTATTCTGATCTGAAGCAGATAAAGGCTCTGACTTCTTGAATGGGGTGCCACAAGGCTCTGTCCTGGGCCCAGTGCTGTTCAAAGTTTTTATAAATGATATGGACAAAGGAGTTGAGAGAATGCTTACCAAATCTGCAGATGATACAAAGCTAGGAGGAGCGGTTAATACTTGGGAAGAGGGAAGAAATTCAAAAAGACTTAGGCTAGAACAGGAAACAAACAGAATGACATTTAACAGGGAGAAATGTAAAATCAGGCATCTAGGTAAGAAAAACAAAAGAAACATGTACAGAATGGGGAAAATCTGGCTCAAGAGCAGCACATGTGAGAAGGACTTGGGGAGGGTACTAGTGGATCACAAGCTCAACATGTCCCAGCCATGTAATGTGGCTGCAAAGAAGGCCAGCAACATCTTGAAGAGCATCAAGAGGACCAAAGAGTCCCGATTATGGGGGTTAATTATCCTGCTGTACCCTGGCATGGTCATGTCTCACTTAGAGTGTTGCATTCAGTTCTGCACATCCCAGTTTAAAAAAAAATTGAAAAACTGGAGCAAGTCCAGAGAAGGACTACCAAGATAGTGAAAGGACTGGAAACCAAGTCCTAAGAGAAATGATGAAAAGACCTAGGTATGTTTAGCGTGCAGAAGATAAGGTGGAAAGGGGACATGATAGCTGTCTTCAAATATATGAAGGGTTGTCACATTGTAGAGGATTCTGACTTATTCTCACTTGCTCCAAAGGGTAAGATTAGAACAAATGGGATGAAACTTCATGGATGTAGATACAGATTAGACGTTAGGAAGAATTTCTTGATAGTGAGAGCTGTCAATCAGTGGGATAAGTTACTGCATGGTTTCTTTCCCTTCACTGGAGGTTTTCAAACAGAGGCTGGATAGTCATCTACTGGGGAAGGTGTAGAGAATCCTGCGGTGTGCAGGGGGTTGGACGTGATGTCCTCTTAGGTCCTTCTAACTCTATGATTCTATGAGCATCTTCCCTATACGCTGCACCTTGAAAGACCTATACTTTTTCCTGGGCTATTCTTATAAAGGACCTTCATATTTCCTATTTTCTTGACCCTGCGTGACAACTATGCAAGCTCAGGAAAAGGTGTAGCTTCCTTATGAACCAGCCAACAGGTACATGGAGGGCCCTGCACTACATCTGAAACATGGTTCGTCACTTCAGGTCTGAATGTTGCACATCTGTAGAGAACAGCTGTTGAGTTTTGTTCTATATGACCTCCTTTTAGGCGTTTGAAGAGTGCTATCATATCTCAAATTCAGTCTTCTCTTCTGAAAGATCCCAGTTTCTTCAATTTTCATAAGATCTAATCTCCTGAATATCCTTCTCAACTTTTCTCAACCTCATCTGGTTTGTCTGAATCTTTCAGAAGGACACAGTACTGGAGATGGGGTCTGACTGCCCCAGAATAAAATGGAACTTTTATATTTTCCAAGATCTGGAAACTATACTTCTGTAGATGCAGACTAAAATTGTATTTGCTGACTCATATTCAGTTAGCACAAGCCATGATTCCAAGATCTATTACCAATCCTTGCATCATCATCCATTATGCCTGTACATTTGATTTCTGTCTTCTTCGTGAACATTCAATTCTTTTCACTTCATTTCTGTGAGTTGTCAGGATCATTTTAATTTTATTTCCATGTTCTAAAATACCAATATTGCATTCCATGTGGTGTCATCAAGTAATTTGGTAAGCACTCTTTGACCTCTTCATCCCAGTCACAAAAAAGCTCCATAGAGCAGTTTTGTTCAACCCAGTGTGTCTGACAGAAATGAAAATAAATCTTATTTCTAACTGTGAGGGGAAAACCTTGCCTATTTCTTCAACATAGTTTGTACTACCACTATATTCCTCCTCCACAGGCCATTTCTTTAAAAAAAGGGGGGGGAGGGGGGAAATGTTTAAAACATCTGTTGAATTTTATGCCTCAAAGGCATAAATTAAATGCAAGTGGCATTGAAGAACATGAGGAGAACCTTTATTCAAATTCACAGTAGAATTTCACTGAAAGCACTCTACTGAAGTTTTCTATTGAGTAATTTAGCTATTCAAATGAAATTCAAAGCACATGCATGTACACAAGAGGATGGGAGAGGTTTTTTTTCTCCTTGTCACAATTCAGTCAAGTATGCCAGCTTTGTGTGTACAGGTTTCTGTGTCTTAAAAACTGCATGTCAGACAGCAATTCAGCAAAAGGAAAAAAAGTATATTTCCTCACTGAATCTGCTTGCTAATTTCACCTGGTGATTGTCTACTTGGTATGAGTCTGATAAAGAAATAAGACTTCTGCAACATATATTGGGTCACTGATGAGTTCCATAACTTTCTGCTGCTCCCATTCAGTTTATAAGAGTCCACAGATATTCATGGCAAACACTCATAGAACTGAACTTTAGGTAGCAGGAACTACCAAAACTGAAAGGGCTCTAGGGCCATGCCTACAGAAGATAGAAGGAGGAAGTATTACATCTAGTCCTTCTGTGCAGATGCAAGAGGCATTTTATGGAGGCTGGTCATGAAGGAGAGGGAAACAATGAGATTTCTCCCTGTCCCCTTTAGTTCTACCCTGCTATGTCAGGATAGATGTCCAGAAGACAGGGGATTCAGAAATGGGTTAGGGAGGAGATAGTTTTGCATATGCTGAATTTCAAATTGCTATATTATTCTGTCTAGACCCTTCACACACTCCAGATTCAGAGCAGGCATGACTAATTCATCCCTGCTCCTGCATACCCATAACTGTCAATGGGAGGGGAGAAAGCATGAATTCAAAGTCTTACTGAACTGTTCCCAGCACCTTTTGGCCTGGTTGCCAGAAGTTAAGAGGTGCTTAACAGGAAGGAAGGAAGCCACAATTATAATACTGATTGATTGACTGATTGATTGACCTACTGTATTTTTATACTGCCAGATTCCAAAGATGACTCCCAACAGTTTACATCATAAAAAATGATAAAAGTATAACATCATATACATAATCAGTGCAAAAATACCATCATGCACTGAGCCCACTGGTGGCCATTCGTTCTCCAAATGTTGCTGCCTAATGACTTGGGCTATCTGACAGCTGTTGCTATGATGCTGAATACCGCCTATTTTATTGTTAAAAAAATCAAAATTTTTCAGTTCAAATACTTCAGACCCAATGTCTGTTCTAAGAATATTAGCAGCTTCCATCCTATGTTTCATCTGTCAATTTATGTTTATCAGTTCCTGTGAACACCAAATGAGCATGCCAGGCCTGCTTCTTTTATAGCCAGTTGGCAATCTAATTGCTTTGGGGCTTCTGATGCAATTAAATCTCCAGTGATGTTGCAGCAGAAGTAATGAATATAGAACAAGAGAGTGAAATTTGGGGATGGGGAGTGGGGGGAGAGAGTCTGCATCATTTCAGTTTATTTCCCTTTTAAGTAAAG